CCTCTCCCCATGTAGCAACTGCAATTCCTTTCTTGAATTGGAAGCAAGATTAATCATTAAGAGAACATGACAGAAAGAGACTGTTAAGATTATTAGTTGCTGCTGTCTCATTTAGATAAAGTTCTGGTTGTTTGTAAGTGCTCGCACTGTTTGGAAAATGATTTTTTTTTAAAAAAATCATTTTCCAAACAGTGCGAGCACTTACAAACAACCAGAACTTTATCTAAATGAGACAGCAGCAACTAATAATCTTAACAGTCTCTTTCTGTCATGTTCTCTTAATGATTAATCTTGCTTCCAATTCAAGAAAGGAATTGCAGTTGCTACATGGGGAGAGGTTCTTTCTGGGGACCTATCATTCTTTTTTGTTGTTTACAAAGTTTGTGATTGTTTATAATATTGTATACTGCCCATAATAATTATGGTGTCAGAAGGTAGAAATGTTAAAAAGTCAAGAAATAGTTAAACACTAATAGAACAAACCATTGTACAAAATAGAAAATAAAAACATAAAGAATATTATAAATTTAATAAGTAAATGAAATGTATTGATATTTTACATTTTTTCTTTATTAGGAACACGATAGAATCGCCAATGTTCTCCAACAGTATAAAAAGAAAAAGAATGTGAGTATTGTCTTATTTATGTATTCATTGCTGTCAATGACTTTGATGTCCAGATAAATAATAAAAATACCACCAGAGATCTATGAGCTTTTAGGATTTATACCAGTTTGCTGTTATTAAAAGAGCCATTATTGCAAAGGAAATCAGCAATGACAGATTATAAGATTAAAGCCCGATGTGTATGTGTCTGTGTGAATGTGAGTGTATGCACCCACACAAACACACAGATATATACATATCATGTGCAACCCTTACGAATCTTTCTACAAAATATGCATCCTACAGTTCCTAATAACTTCTTGCTTCTCATCAGGAAGACTAATTTCTCTGTTCATTGCTATTGCAATAGATCAGTCTGCTCTCAGTCCTTTTGGTTCTGATCTTGCCTGATCCAATCTGCGTATGTCCCTAGTCCAGTGTAAAAGCATATCTAGAATGAAGTAGTTCCCAAATTAAGTTCTTGACATCTTCAAAGAAGATTGAAAAAAATGCCTAATGGTAATTCTATTGTTCATACTGTACCAGATGGACTCATTATCCTACTCAATGTAAAATAGATTTTATAAATTCCTGTCATACTGAAATCAGTGGAATTATTAGTCTTTGCTCCATTTAGTGATAAATGGAGATAGGATTTCAGCATCAGATGGAGGTGGGATACTACAGGTTCACCCGGGTTCGGGAGAACCCGTAGCTAATGTTATGGCTGGTTCGGAGAACTTCCAAATCCCACCCCTGGCTGATCCTGCCCCTCCCACCCCACTCCTCCCCTCCCAGGAGTCTCCACATGGCCTGTTTTGGCTCTGAAGTAAGTGCAGGGCTCATGCGGAGGCTCGGGGAGAGAGAAAAACAGGTCTCCCGGAAGTTCTGGAAGGGCCTCCAGAAGGTCTCCAGAGCCCGGGGAGGCAGTTTTCGCGCTCCCAGAGGCTTGAGGAAAGCCTCAGGAGCCTGGGGAGGGGGAAAAGCCCCCCCCCAACCGTAGTGCAAGAGGCCGCCAATGCCACGTCCACCATGGCCACGCCCACCCAGCAACCAGGCAGAGAACCCATTGCTGAAATTTTTGAAGCCCACCCCTGATCAGATATAAGTTATAACTTCCCCAGTTGTCCAATAATGGCTTGGCTGCTCTGCTGGGCCTGAGGTATGTTATATCAAACCAAATCACAGCATATTTTAAGAATTTTCTACAGTGGCTACCAGGATTACATATTTGAGCCAAGAATTGAGCTTTTCTGTGTATCAAATGCTCTCCCAATAAGATGGGGATTTCATTCACATAAAATTAAATAATATACTTTGTGTATGAAATGAACATCAAAGGTAAGAAACAACTATTAAGGATTTTAGCTTACTTCCTTTTTTCACACTTATGACCAGTGTAACCTCTCCATGGTCATGTGATCAAAATTTGAATGCTTGGCAATTGGTCCATATGTAGCCATGTTCTGAGGTCATGTGATCACTTTTTGAGAACTTCTGTCAAGCAAAAATAATTGGGAAGCCAGATTCACTTAACAACTATGTTACTAATCTAACAACTGCAGTGATTTACTGAACAATTGTGTCAAGAAAGGTCACAAAATGGAGCACAACTCACTTAACAAGTGACTCATTTAGCAACAGAAATGTTGGTTAAATTGTGGTTGTAAATCATATATTTTATTAGTTACTCGGTTAACCCAAAGGGATGGATATTGTAAATTTACTTACTGAATCATTTGTATTTCAGGATCCCACATTTCAGGAGAAGAAAGAACGATGTGAATATCTAAAGAACAAACTTTCTCACATAAAACAACGAATTCAGGAATATGACAAAATTATCAATTGGAATACTTAGAATGACTTTAATTTTACCAACAAGATTTGTTGATCATTTTAAAATATTTATTGCCATTATTGTACATTTTTCTTGTAAAATTAGTAACTAAAATCTAGGTTGTATAATGCAAACTAAGGAAATTTTTTTCTACTGTAAGCTGAAAAACGTTCTCATAATGTAGTTAAACCATGTCTACTGTTGATAATCCTATTCTAAAATAACAGACAAAATTAGTATCTTTTACTTTTTAAATTCAAAATATTTGTATTTCTGTCACTGAGATATTTTCCTAAATATGAATATGCTGTAAACGGGTATGACTTAAGTATGACTTAATTCCATGTGTAGCTCAGTTCCATGAAATGCAGTTTTTCAAAAATCCATATGTATTACAAATTGCTTTATATGCTAGGGTGCCACTTAACCATTTATGTGTAATGACCTACTTGGAAGGACAAGGAACCAGAGTCTAGCCATCTCCTCCTTTGGCAGGCAGGAACTTGGATTCAGGTTCTACAGAACCCAAAACATGTGTTTGGTGATCTCATCGCTAGGAACATCAGTTCTTAATTCCCTTTTAGCAATTCCTAATGAAGTGTTGCATAGTTTGTGTTAAGGAGAAATATTCACATGCATGAAACATTGGATTGAGCTCTATATTGCATAGGTGATTAACCATTTTTTAATATACATCTTTATATGAACTAATAAATGTTTTACTTATATAACAAAGTTATGTTTTTATATAGGACAATCATCTTGTTCAGCAATTTCCATTGGATCGCCATTCATTTTAAAATTAAATAATTTTGAAAGTTTAATATTTGTAAATCTTGACATTCTAAGCAAAAATTGGAGTTGTATTTTTGTGACCTGTATTTATTTTGCAACAAAATAGGTATATGAGATTCCATCTGACAGGCTATGGCATTTGAAAACATCACAATTATGCAAAGTACAACCTTTTTGTAGGAGGGGTAGTTACCTTCATGTTTTCTTGTTGGATCATATGGATGTGGAAACAAAAGTTCTGGGATTAGTATCATTCTTTTAAAATAGATTCTGATGGATAAAGGGACCTAAATCTTAAGTATTTAGATACATGTCATTTTATTTGAAAATCTCTCACAAATTTATTTTATAGGTAATGTATTTTGAGCATACAAGTACAACCTTTCTCAGAGAAAGTTATTAGCTTTGTTTGGGGAAATATCATGAGGAAAGTATGATAAAAGAGAATGTAAATACTATCAAAGAAAAGCAGCATTCAACTAAAATATTTTCAGACTGAAACTGAATCTTACTGTCCTGCTGAAAGACAGCAATATATGTAGGTATGTAGGTATGTAGGTATGTATGTTTGTATACATACATATATATATATATTTGAATTGTCAACTAATTTCACCTCTTAAATTCAGATTGCAGGAGTGATTTATAGCTGACTTTTTCTAAACAACTTAAAATGTTGATTGGAATGGCAGGTGCAGAAAAATTATTCAGGGCATTAAATAGCATAGTTGTTTAATACAGCTCTTGGAAAATAGAAATTCCAATTCACTTATCTTTTTATAAGTGAGGTGGGAATTTCATATATCTTTCTACATTTCTATTTTGTATCATATCACATTTTTTACAGAAGAATCTTAGCACATTGTAGTGAATTTCTATAACTTTAAAACAATCTCCTTTTAGCATATGATTTTTTTATTAAAATTTAAACAAGAAGGTAAAAACTAACAAATACAGAGCAAGGAAGAAAAAAATAAAGCAAAAAATTCAAGAAAAGAAAAGTTAAAGAAACAAAAGGAAAAAGATAATTTTCAAAAAAACATGCACTACAGTGCAAGTCACTTTCCTCTGGTTTCTTTATAGTATTAAGTTATAACGAACCTTCTGAAATACTGAACTGTATATTTTCATAAAATAATGAATAAAACATATACTAGACAATCCATGATCTGTTGTGTCATCTTTTCAGACATATTTACTTACCTACTATTTGTGCCCCCTCACAAATCCTCCCTGATCCAAGTCATTTCGCTCTCACACATCTATTTGCAGGAAACCTAACAAGGCTCTCTCACATACTCTTATTCCCTTGTGCACTCTTCCAAATGTGTACGTCACCTTTTGTGCTCCACCAACCAACGCATCATCTCTCACGCCCCCACACTCTTCCTGACCTGCACTGTTCCCTCACACATACCAACCAATGCCACACCCCTTACACACCTGATCCTTGCCCTTGCACTCTTGCACACCTGCTTAGAAGCTGCATCCTCCCTGCTTCCTACACAGCACCTTTCCTGCACTCCCATACACACCCATACTCCCTCTCCCACCCAGTAGCAATCAGTCACCTGCTTGTCAGCCTGGAATTTCCAATTTCCTGTCATTTTCTCCACTGGCCTTTCTTCTGGGAAGCTGGCAGAGTGCAAGCCACATACTGCCTTAGCACATTGTGTAAATGCAGTCACTTGAGTATGCAGTTGAAGTGACACCTCCTCCAATTTGGGTAACATACTTAAAAGCTACATAATGTTGTTAATGCTTCAGAACAGTTGTAAGTGAATGGATCTGTATGTAGTGTGATTTGTAGCAAACTTTCGCCTTTTTTCTACTGCATATACGTAGGTGAATTTAGACAACGCAGCAGGTATGTATAGTGCTTGGCTAAATATGGGCAATCATAAATGGTAATTTCATTCTACAATGGTTTATTATTCATTCAGCTTCTTACTTTTGCAAACAGCCTATCATACTGTGTTTAAAATTCAAAAGCGGCAGGTGTTTTGAAGTGATTATATTCTAACCATCACCACTAAATTAAGTATTAATCAAACCTCCGTGTGTTTGAGGTTTGTATCCTGAGGCAGCAAACAGCTTTATATTATATTCTGTCATTTGCCAAATGTTAAATCTTTGTGTTAGCAACTCATTTAAATGCTTGACATCTGTTTTTTCAAGATAATTGGTTCAGAGAAAGATACTTAGGACATTATTCCATTACAAGGCAGTGGAATGTAAAGTGGAAAGAAAAGATTTAAAATACTGATATGTTCATCAACCTGAACATATCTAATCATTGGGATATATCAATTTCTTTAATTCATTATTTTTAATAAATGAATTACAGAATGGAAAGAATAAGTGCTGAATGGAGAATTCTGGGAATTGGAAGTTCACATATATTAAAAGCTGCCAAGTTTGAAAAGCACCATACTACACCAAAGTTATTTTTTGGGATGTCAATGTCTTACAGAAAATAATTTTCTAATTGCCAGTATTGTATTGTAGGAAGTTATCACCCAGCCCTCTCCCAGAAAAATGAAATACCCTAGGAAATATTGAAAGGGCAGAATATTTATCTGGATGTGAAAAGAAAAAAAACATGTTTTATAAAGAGAGAATAGCTCCCTGCAGCTTCCTGCCCCAACCCACTTTGTCAATGGGACATTAAGAAGGCCAAGCAAGTCCCTTTACATAATAAAGAGTTCTCCCCTTCAGCTCCAGTGATGGGATTAAGGCATGATAATATTGGCCCTTTACCCAACTCACCACATGGCATCTGAGAACTCAACCAAACCTGGATTCAAAATGCAGCTTAGAGTTGCCCCTGCTTGGCCACATGGGAGTCTAACAACCAATCAGAATGCAAGATCAAGATCAAAGGCCAGAGGGGGATAAAACCAGGGACTCAGCACCTCAGTTGGCCTTTCTTTTTTCTCCACCAACATTGAAGCATGTGATCACCTTTTCTGTTCAGGACTCAAGCCATGTGGTCCTGTCCACCATTAAAAAACATCTTTCCAAGCAGTCTCCAGTGTCTTTTTCTCCACTTGGAGCTGAAACCAGAAGGACATTACTTCCAACAGTATCTTATCTCATTGGGTGGAAATATTATGTAATTATATCCAATAATTGTTCTAAAGTTGTTGTCATTGTTTATGATGGTTTTATATATGCTGCGATGTAAGAAGTATCTCTGAAATTCAGAAAGGTGCTACAGTGAAATCAGAAAATAGATCTGTTGCTATGGGGTTCACCTGATTGTGCATGCCTTGTGTGCAAAGCAGGTAATTAATACTAATTGGGCTGTGCAAGGCTTTGCATTCAAGGTCAAATTTATTTTTCAGTTCTGGGCAAAATACAAAGTACACTAAATTATCTTGAACATGCTACATTACTTAGATTCAGATTATTTGAGAGAACAGAGTTTTTTATATGCACTTCTATGCTCACTGAGAATTGCCATTGTAACAACTGGTGAACAAGTTGTCTCTGTTGCCATCCAAGCTGCTTGGAATGCATGCCCTGCAGAATCTGTGCATTTACTGGTTTTGTCTATTACTACAATTCCTAATCACTCCTGTTGGTTTAAGACCTGAAGGACAAAAGGACAAAAGCTCATCTTTATGAGCTTTTTAAAAACTTTCAGAACACATATTTTTGTACAGACTTTCAACTGCTAATTTGAACGGCTGATTATTAATTTCACCTGCTCTTTGTTGTTGTCATTTTATCTTTTCCATTATAAATGGCTGAGACTATTTAACAATTGGCAGGCAGCATAGCAAATTATATTAAGTATAAATAAATAATAAGATGCTTTGGAACAAGTGGAAGTTTGAATGAAGCATCTTCTTGAAACTTGTAATAGAAACTACCTCTTCTCCTGGGACGACACAGCTACCCTCATATATTTTGAGGTGCCTTTTTTGGAATAGAAAAGTGCCACGTAGCCTGAAGCTCAAACAGTATTAAAAATTCCCAAGGGTATATATTCCAACATTTTAAATGCTCCTTAAAAATATAATTCTCAACCTGTGGCCCAGGATGATATTGAACACTGTCAGGGGCCACTGATTCGGCCCAAAATTGATTGATTTAGACTACCCATCATGTACTATAATATTAGGCAGTTTACAAATAATAATAAAACAATAAAAAGCATAAAACAACACTCCAACGTGTTAGTAGGAAGAGCCAGGTCTTCAAACCAAGGCTTTCCAGAAGGCTAGGAGGGGAAAGACCTGCCAGATTTCAGAGGAAGAAGCAAGGGCTGCTAGTGATGATATGGTAACATTTAAAGGAAGGGGCATGAGTGCAGCAGCCAACCACCCTATTGGACTTTGTCCAGTTGGCAGATACACTCAGGAAGAAGCGTTGCATAAACAACCTGCTCCTGTAGCATTCAGGGCTTTAAAAGTGATATCAGAATCTTGAATTACACCTTGTGTAAGAAGCTTGTATAGCAACTGTATAACATGGACAAACCATGCGTGTCCCAAAACGGTCTGCATTGCTGCTATCTAGACCAGTTGCAATTTCCACATGGTTGGTTTGGTTGGTTTGGTTTATTAGATTTATATGCCGCCCTTCTCCCAAGGGCTCAGGGCGGCGTGCAACATAAAAAAACAACAACACATATTACAAAAGTTAAAAAAAATAAAATAGAATATCCCAAACAAACCCAATTAGAATTAACAATGACATTTTAAAGAAAATTCAATTAAAATTAACAATAATCAATAATTTATTTTGTTTTGTTCAGGCCAGGCTAGCTTTTTAGGGTGCATTGGAAGGACCGGAGGTCGGGGATTATACGAAGCTCCGGGGGCAGCTCATTCCAGAGGGAAGGCGCTCCCATAGAGAAGGCTCT